ATTTCCTCCACGTATAAAGCAGATACATGAACTAAATTAGCTTATTCAGAATATGGCTTTATCCTAATGTGTACAATGTAGAAAAGTTTTAATAAAATGATCAAAAATCGAAGAAGCATTTCTTTTTAAGGAAATTAACTTAATTTAAACCTTTGAGCTTTAAAATATTCCTAATGTAATGTATAATGTAAAAATTGATTTTTGAATTTAAAGTGGATTTTTAATAGTTTTCTTAATGGATTTTAATGAGTACATTAAGGGTACTCTATAAAACTACATCAAAACTATTTGTTCCAAAATGGATTGTTTTAAAACAAACTTGCTATTTAATCCCTAAAAAAAGCAAATTAGTTTTAAAATAGCCAATGTCGAGACCATTATAAAACATCAATTGTATGGGTTGTATTTAAATTATTTGCATAAGAATAAGTGTACTTTAAGAACTCAAAGGCATATTTGACCTCTTATGTATTTTTTTAAGTATAATAATATCCAGCTTCACAATAAAATTTTAAATTTATTTTAGCATTTATAACGTTACAAATAACCACATTTATCCACAAAAGCATATAAAACAAACCGTAAATTGCCTTTAACCAACAATAATTTTCCTGGCGCTCTTTAAAAAAAGTATTAATAACAGTACGAAGCGCCAGGCTGTAGCACCGCGTAATTTCATTGTATAAAGCGTATAACTTAAAACAGTTGTTTCAGTTATGAAATTTTAAGTGTTGCATTCGATTTATATTTTTGTTACCTTGCCGTAGTGTAATAGCGTTTACTTTCATAAACGAGACTTATATTAAATTCATTCGACTTGCCCAATTTGTGAATACGTCGACTTGACTCCCGGCAATTTTGCAATCGAGTTGCACTATCGAGAATATTAATTGCACGCGAAGGTTTACAACTAAAGTTCAACTTTATACCGGGTAGGTACATAATAGTCTAGTATGTATCAAGTTTGATAATACGCCATTTTAGTCGAAAATTTAATTTAGACACTCGCGAGCTTGCGAGCTAGTGCTTAATTAAATGGGTGCCTAGAAAAGTTATAAATGAGTTGAATACACATTGACAAGTTGTGGCTTTACGGCGTTTTAGTCATGGGCTGAAGTTAGCAAGAGGTTTTTAGTCACGGGCTGAAGTTAGTTTTAAGATAGTTGACAGTTGTCAAATGTCATACAACCGTTAAAATAAATTGCCTTTCTTGTAAAATAATACTAAATGTGAAAATTAATTTATTATCTCAATACAAAAATACAAAAGTATTAAATAGTTTCTCAACGCCAATATTTGAAAATTGAACATTGTACTGACCTTTTAATTTCACCGGCAGTAAACTATAACTTAAATTCGGACTCCACTGTAAAGTGCTCATAAAACATTTTCTTTACTTTCACTGTAAAAAACTGTACATTTTCAAGACATACATTTCGATTTATAACCTTTATAACCTGTGTTTATAAAATAAAAAAAATTGACATTTGACGGTGACACACAGATTCCCCTTTTGGTTCATAGATGGCGCTCTATACAAATTTTTGATTTAAATCATTTTAAGATAATAATAAGCATTTGTCGTAGAAAAAGTATAGCATATATGCACCTCGTTTGCAAACTTTTCTATACACTCATTAATTTAAGAACTCTCTCGCAAGCTCGCTCGTGCCTAAAATAAATTCGTGAATAAAATGGCGTTTATCAAACTTGATACATAATATACTATTTTACATACTTAGTACCAAATTAATTCATTGTTGTGTTTTTATTAGTGGATATTTGTAAGCAGCGGTTTGTTTAAAACAATACTTGCTTTGAAATTCTTTGCTCATGAGCAATCGTAAATAAAGTGGAATAATTAGAAAGCTATTATTTCGCGTTACAAATTATTTTTTTCTTCTAGATAGTAATTGTTACTTATTACAGTAACTGTTTAATAATATGGTCTTTTATCTTAAAATTCTGTTGCATCCGACATTTTGACAAACTAGTTTTTTCTATTTTTAATTTAAAGATAATATTTAAAATCGAATATTTTTTTTACTTCCGATACTGAAAAATTGGTTTATATTAATAGGAATATCCTCCTTATTACAGTTTTCCATTTTTTCTTTAATCCCTTATAAAAATACCATATTTAATTATTAATCAATGGTCTAATTAAATCTTTATACATGATTTTATAGTCAAATAAATGCTCTACAAAAAAGACAACTGTGTTTAAGCGATTACTCTAACCATTTAATAGTATAATATGTATCAAGTTTGATAAACGCCATTTTATACACGAATTTAATTTAGGCACGAGCGAGCTTGCGAGCAAGTGCTTAAATTAATGAGTGTATAGAAAAGTTTATAAACGAGGTGCATAGTATAGAAAAAGTATAGTATGCACTGCATACTATACTTTTTCTACGGCAAATACTTATTATTATCTTAAAATGATTTAAATCAAAAATTTGTATAGAGCGCCATCTATGAAACAATAGGGGAATCTGTGTGTCACCGTCAAATGTCACATTTTTACATTTTATAAACACAGATTATAAAGGTCATAAATCGAAATGTATTTCTTGAAAATTGACAGTTTTTCACAGTGAAAGTAAAGAAAATGTTTTATGAGGACTTTACAGTGGGGTCCGTGCCCGAATTTAAGTTATAGTTTACTGCCGGCGAAATTAAAAGGTCAGTACAATGTTCATATAAACCTTTTAAATATTGGCGTTGAGAAACTAGGTATTTAATACTTTTGTATTTTTGTATTGAGATAATAAAATAATTTTCACATTTAGTATTATTTTACAAGAAAGGCACTTTATTTTCACGATTGTATGACATTTGACAACTGTCAACTAACTTAAAAATAACTTCAGCCCGTGACTAAAAACATGTTGCTAACTTCAGCCCGTGACTAAAGCGCCATAAGGCCACAACTTGTCAATGTGTATTTAAAAGGTCACTTAGTGTCATGGAAACATGTACGATAAAGGGCGTTTTAAAGGTGGGAGTAGAAAAAAGATATTTAAGATCAAAATTTAAAGAATTTATTAATTTTTTTTTATAATTTTGTAACCCCTTTAAAAATAATTATTGTGAAATGAGTATGGCATATTTTTTTAGAAACTTTAACGCTCTACAAAAAAGGTCTGATGTGTTTAATTGAATACTCTAACCGTTGAGAAGATATTTGTCGTTCTTTGATGTTAATTTTTTACGAAACAGTTAAAGATAGGTATAAGACATTGTACATAAAATATTTCTACAATTTTCTGAAGAATCTAAAAATTGCATTTGCATTTTTCTTATATTAGTATATTTATTCTGTTTAAAACTGATAACACCATAAAAGTTACAACCATACATTTTTTCAATGTATGCAAATTTTAAATACACAAATTCAATTTCTTTTTAAAATAAGTATAACGAAAGTCAGGTAAAATAATATATTTTAAGAAAATTGGGTTAAATAAGAAACATTTAATTTAATTAGTCGAATTGTCTAGATCTTTTTAATTAACAATATATGTGGTGAAAGTTTCACATGATTACAAATATGACACTCTTTTTTCAGCTAATTGTGTGGTAGGTGTAGAGCAATATTTTATAATCTGGCAACACTGCCCGGGAACAGCAACACTTTTAAATTCACAATGTTGTGAAGTAACTATAAAATGAATCGATAATACAAATACCCTGTGAGGAGAAAGTTAAATAAATACATATATCATCAGTTTTGCCGGCTTATATTAAATGAGCAATTAATTTTGCGTGTTTTATATGCGCCAACCATAAACAAACGACACGCCGTTGTTAGTTAATCGTAAACAATGCGTACTTTTCTAATACGCTTCGTGATTCGCATGCTGCTGCTGTTTCCTATTCGAATTAATGCATTTAGTTTAACGCATTTTATTTTATTAATTGGTTCTATTTAGTCCATCAAAACTTTCATGTTGACGTTCCTTTTATCGCACTTTAAGGCTTCTTACGGCCCCTTAAGTCCTTTATCAAAACCTAACTGTTTTATTTACTTACTTGAAACCACCTAAAAACTACTATAAGGGTGAATATATTGAGATGTCCCCCAAGTGAAAATGATTATTTTTTATTTTTGGTTGTTTCACTGTTAGTCTAGAAAGGGGTTTTTGGGAAGCCACCAGGTCTAGTAATACATAACATAACATAAGTGGTTCTGCACTAATGCAAGAATTTTAAGAAATCATACATTTTTGAATATTAGAGCTTCACGGAAGATAGCTTCACGGAGGTTAGGATTTCGTATGTTTTTTTAAACATCCCTTTGTATAATTGAAATAAGTTCTTGTATCTTTTGACGCCTTAATATTTTTTAAAAATACAATTGTACATACATAAAATATTAAAAAAAAAATCTATTTACTGAGATATTACACTTCACGGTTTTTAAATGGCAAATTAATGAACTTTTGAATTATAAAACAGCAACACTCTCATCTGCATATAAATTCTAACTGACATGCATCTATAATGCCGTAAACAGAGGTTTTTACTTATTTAAAATGATTAAAGCGCCATCCGTTGCCTAAAATTTAAACCAAAAACAGATTCACGGAGGATAGAATCAATTTTTGTAACACCTACATAAATGGTTATAAAAATTATTTCTTTTAATTTTTAATAATATTTTATATTTGATTCGATTACTTTGGATGTGTTTAATTTACTTATAGTGAACTGATATTTTTAGTATGCTTTTACTACCTCAAATATTTGAAAACATTGAGTAACAGTAACGGAGGATAGGTTTTAGACTTTTAAAACATTATAACAAATAATTAATTGCGGTTAAAAATCTGGAACCTGAGCTGTAATATCTACTTAATTATGAAAGATCAAAACGCAATAAAAGTGTGGGTCAAACTCATTTAATTTTATTAAATATCACAGGGTTACACCATCGGGGACATTTCGTGAGATTCACCCATAAACAATATTAATTGTTTTTCTTTTTGTTACAGATTACGAGATTCCCAAGGTGCTTTTAAAGGCCCGATACAGGCCCTTTGCTGTTCCAAAAATGCCCAGCAAGTGTTCTCTGTGATGTTTACTGTGTGAAAATTAAAAATCTTTGGACAAATGTTTGAAAATTGTGTAACATGAATTCCGATCAACGCATTTTAAAATGGATGGTACTATTCGTTGGATTTTTTTCGTTAGGTAAGTGCTTCCCATTACGCGTCATCGAGGTCATACGATGAAATTTATTGTATGAACCCACACACACTGGCATTTCTTATTCACTTTTGCACTTTAAAATTTCCCAATTTCTTTCTCGTAATTATGTATATAGGGTATGTTCAATACAGGTTTTTATTTAAATTTATATCTTACATTGCTATAAGAACAATTCTGTCACAAGTATTGTGGTCTGGAGATCTCCGAGGCCGGAGTCTACAACTTAATTAGTTCAGACGTTTCAATTTTCTATCCTACTTTTAAATTTTATTTATTTGATTAGACGATGACTAGATTTTTCCATTAACTTTAAATCAGCTTTACTTTACGCTAGGTTTTGCATTAAAATGTTGATTACATTTCGGAGTTAAACAAGTTTTCTGGGTTAGTGGCAAACTACTTTTGCAGAAAAGTAAGTTTATTATTATGTTAGCTCTGTTAATGTAGAAAATGTGCTAATTGAACAATAGTTTTCTAAATGATTCATAATCTGTGAAAATATAAAAAGCCAAAACTTAGTTATGAAACTTCTAAAAAGGTTTCCTTTCTTTAAAACTTATACTTAAACTTCTGATACTCAGTTAAAATTTATTTGTTAATTTTAACCAAATATTAACTAGATTTTATGTTTAACCAGGTCCAAATAACTTTTTGTTAAGTTTATAACCAACTGTAATCTGTTAACAAATTAAATAATTAGTTTTTAATTATAACAAACATTTTGTGGATACAGTAACAAAAGTATTTGTTGGAAATTAGGAACTGAAATGAAACAAATGTTGATAAAAAGGTTGCTTTATCAATCAATCACCTAAACAAAAAAATTAAAACACTACATACGAGGTGTGTTCAGAAAATATCGGGAATTTTAGTTTTTTGAAACAAATATTTATTTATTCGTCTACATTAATGTTGTCGCCTTCAAATAGTCCCCATTGGATATTATGCACATGTGCCAGCTCTTCTTCCAATACTCGAAATACTTCTAAAACTCGATCTTTGGGATAGCCTTTAGTTCTTTCAGCGATGCGCTTTTAATATCATCTATGCTTGCAAAACGACGCCCCTTTAAGGTTCTCTTTATTTTTGGGAATAGGAAAAAGTCAGACAGAGGCATGTCTGGCGAATATGGAGGCTGGGGCATCATTACAGTATTGTTTTTGGCCAAAAATGTTATTCAAAATTTAACAATTTTAGAACAAATTTTGCTGCCATGCGTTTCATACCCAAAACATTCGAAAAAATTTCATGGGATGAGCCAATCGATATACCAACATCATCAGCGACTTCTCTGATGGTTTATAACCATTTATTCCACTTTTTCCATGTTTTTATCGGTTGTTAATGTGCTTGTGCGTTCGGGGCGTTCGTCATCTTCAACGTCTTCACGGCCATCTTGGAAACTCTTATACCACCTGTAAACTCTTGTTTTACTTATAGCAGACTCGTTACAGGCCTTTGTTAACATTTCACAGAATTTGTTTCATTTTTTAAGCAAAATTGGATACAAATTCTTTGATCCATTTCTTTTAACGAACGAAAAATCGCCGAGCTCATAAAACACGTCTAACCTTAGCGGCTGCCACAGACAAAGTAAACAATGAAAACAGCTAATGTTTTTATCTTACTTCGGGGGTATGCATACCAACATAATAAAGAAAATTTTATGACAACCGGAACCTCCGAACCCGCGAAATTTAACAATTCCCGTTATTTTCTGAACACATTGTCAGAAATAATTTGTTAACAATAACAAGATAATCTGTAACCTTTGAAATTAACAAAATGCTTAAAAAATTGCCTATTACCTTTACAAAACTTAAAATAAAATATTTGTTTTTGTTAAAATAATTACAAACCCTAATTTTATACAAAAAATTATGTAAACATTTTACGAAATAAAATTAACAAAGTATAAACTCATTTTAACAAATCTGATTTTTATAATAGTGTATTGATGGCAGTGTAAAAGCGTTTCATATTTTCCGTGGGACGGCTTAAGCTGTGACGTCACTTCCAACGTCTGCTAAAATTTCACTCCCAACCCAAGTTTCGATTCTACATTTATAATGCCATTAGTTGCACCACGCTCCATAGCGACTTATTTGTAATTATTACCTGTAATGTAGCAATTGAAAATAAAAATGGTTACTTTAATGCATTTGTCATTAAGTCCAAAATGCACCTGCAAATCATTAATGTCATTTAAAATAATTATTTGTGATTTGGTTTAATGGCTAATAATATATCTTATTACAGGTCAAAAGCATACTTTGTTATAGGTATTAAATTATATTAATATTGATTACAATAATTAAGTCAATCAATAACTTACACAATCAGATTTAAATAAAATACAGGGTGTCTTAAAGTCATGGACAGCAGAACAAGTCGTTTTTTGATCTGACGTACCCTTTAATTAATTAATTAATTAAAATCATAATAAAAAATGGCGAATGCGCCGGGATTAATTTTTTATAATAAATAATTTTTTTTATAATAAATATTTTCAAGAAGAAAAGTGGCATTGTACAATATCTATGTTATATCCAACTAACTAACTATGCTAATATTAACAAAGGAATGTTAATATCAATAATTTATATTAATTTGGTTACCCAATGCACGCAAGGTAAAAGCAAAACCAAACAAACAGCGCGCTTGATTTCAATCAAATTATTTGAATCAACAAGCAGCATTACCTTGTAAATATTATGATTTAATCCCACTAAAACTGCTAATTAATCGAGAGTTTAAAAAATTTCCGCATGCTCGTACGTATTTAACTTTCTTTTTATTAAACTTGAAAGTCATCGACCATATTTTGATTAGTTCAAATATGCATTTTGGTCCGTAATTTCCTGATTTGTTTTTTTACTTGTTTAGTCTAAAAACAATTAAAAAAATATATTTTTCGATGTCATTTAGTCCTACCTAAATGCTTATTTATAGACAGGTCACGTTACACTATACATATTTTTTTAGAAAGTTTTATAATTATTAATCCAAAATGTATATGTTCTAACTTGCAAATTCATAAACTCATAAACAAGCATAAAGGACAAACTATTTGTTGAAAGAATGTACTCACATTGCTTTATTTCGATAAGTCTTGTGTAGTTTGGCTCACTAAACGCAAAAATCACACTTAAATTTTTTTATATTGAAGCGTTTTCTAGATATGAATTTTCAATTGTTTTTTTTAATTTTCTGAGGTGTTTTGACGTTTTAGAGTATACTTCGAGTTCTAGATTGATTTGACCAAACAAGCGCTTAAATCAAAGGCAATTGAGCCCTCTACAACTTTCTCTTGTATAGTTTTGGTATCGGCTCAGTAGTTCCATACTGGCGATTTTATGAAGTTGAAAAAGTCCTTTTTTTTTTTTACAAAAATCGAGGTCGAAAATTTACATATCTTTCTGGGAAAGATAAAAATCGAAAAGATAATTTCAGTTTCATTTATTTTACGTATAGATTATACTTAACCCTTACGCTGCTCCAGACGTATATGTACACAAATCCATTCGCTGCTCAAGGCGTATAAAAACGCACACTAGTTTTTAATTATTCCGGAACCCAAATTAAATTTTATTAAAAGGTATATTTTATATTTTACAATAAAAACATACAATTATGGCATTTTTGCAGGTTTTTTTCTTTTTAGTGGTTTACTGCTCCAAACGTAAATATACGCGGCAGCGCTAGACTCGTTCTAAAAGAATGTCAGGATCGAATTAGTTTGTTTTAATTTGAATCAAATATTTATTTTATCTCGTTTTTGGCCATAAGAGTTATGTTTTTTTTATATTTTTATGTTTATTAAATTAAATATTATGTATTTTATCTCGTAATATTTATTTTATCTCGTTTTTGGAATTAATTGTTATGTTTTTTTATATTTTTATGTTTATTAAATTAAATAATATTTATTTTATCTCGTAATATTTATTTTATCTCGTTTTTGGCCTTAAGAGTTATGTTTTTTTATATTTTTATGTTTTTAAATAAAATAATATTAATAAAAATTGTATCTCGTTTTTTTTTTGTATTGAGAGTTATGTCTTTTTATGTTTTCTCGTTAATATACACCCAGTATTAAGTATTTCTACGAAGACGGTATTGGCAGGTTTTCTTGAAATTGTTTGACTTTAGCGTTACACTGCTCTAGACGTATATCTACACAATAGACTCTGGCTGCTCCGAACGTATATATACGCAGAGGGCTTTTTAATTGCGCATACTGGAAGCAATGTTGAAACACATCTTAGCAGTTTAAGGGTTAAAGGAAAAAAATAAGCTGCTGTTTATAAAAATCCATGGAGTTAGGAATTTTTCAGTGGAAGACCAAAATTCAGTTTTCGAGAATTTTTACGTTTTTTCTTCATTTTATTGAATTATATAAAATTTAATATTGAACATTGATTTTTATTTTAAACATTAAATATTGAAATTAAATCATATAGGTATTGAATATTAAACCAAAAATACTGAACATTGAAGAAATTAAAAGTTTTATTTTGTTGCAATAAGCATAGGTTTAAAAAAATTCTGGCTCCTTCTTTGTTTTTTGTTGCTTTCGTATTTCGTTTCTCGTATGAGGGACCAAATTTAATACCCATCATGGCTGCATCCCAGAAGCCGTGATACCGCCGCTCCATAGCCTGGTGAAAACGTTCTCCGTGCTCATCACTTACGTCGCCCAGATTGTGCGGGTTATTTACGCACTCAAACTCTCTACTTCTTTTACTCATTTTACACTTTTTATTAACTAAATAAAACCATGATAAAAATACCTTGTTGAAATATTAAAAAATATCATTAAAATGTCACTATGCCAACACGAGAAACAAAAGAATTCACGTTTGTGGAGTCATGTCAAATTTAAATTTTGAACAATGTTTTCGGTGAAAAAAGTACGTAAAAAACTCAAAAAATTCCAATCATGCACTTTAATTAGGTTTTCTTTTAAAGACTAAACATATTACAAAATAAAAGAAAAAAAACTAAAAATCGTCAAAAAGCTGAATTTTATAATATCTTCCACTAAAAAATTCATAACTTCGCCATTTTTTTATGTATTTTTATCAACATTAGCTTGTTTTTTTTTTGTAAAAATATCAGCTTCACGAAAAAAAATTTAAACTGGAGTTATCTGTTTGATTGAAACTTTTCCCAGGACGATATGTAAATTTTCGATCAAAATTTTTGCCATAAAAACGATTTTTTTAAGTTATTAAAATCGCTAGCGTCAAAATTATTATCCTATATCAAAAGTATGTAAAAGAAATTTTTAGAGGGCTCAAATACCTTCAATTTAAGGGCTTGTTTCACCAAATCGATTAATTAGATTTCAAGCTATACTCAAAAACATCAAAATACCTCCGAAAATTGAAAAAAAAAACAATTGAAAATTCATATTTCAAAAACGGTTCCATAAAAAAAATTGAATGGGATTTTGTAAACTAGTGTTTTAGAAAAAGTATGCCTCATATTTTTTAAAAAATAAATAACAAACCCGAAACATTTGAATCACTTAATCTTTTTACAAGAAATAATGATATAAAACTGATTTATTATATTTGTAAAATAAATTTTATAATGTAAAAAAGAAGTCATCCCAAGCATCCACATTAATACGATTGAGAAGATACGTGAACGTATTCACAAAAAGCATGGAAAAATATGGAAAGAAGTCTCATTGTTGACTTCGTGTCTAAAATCTGGAATTTTCATGTCGATGCATATCAGCTAAATTGAAAATGTTTTCTAAGAGAAGCTATTTTTATAAAGTTTGTTGACTTTTCGTGGTTTTTTAGTATAAAATTTGCGGTTAATAACATTTTGTTTTTGGTACGTGAATAATTTTTAAATATTTATTTATTTCGTAGTAGGATATTTTGAAACTACGTATCGACATTTTAAATTGCGGGTTGTTGTATTTTTTATGTTTTATTTATTTAAATAAATAAAATGAAAAAGTTAACGGTTCTTAGGTCAATAAAGCAAAAACATAAAATTATTATATTATTATTATATCTTATAATAATAATATTTAATTAGTAGGAAATAAATTAAACTAACCCAACCAATAAATTATCAAGCAAATGTATTTCTTACTACCCTCGATATAATTTAACATAACACAACACAATAATATATATCCGGTAAAATTAAATTTATTTTTAATATTGTTTGTGTCAAAATAAATTTCCAATCGAATTTTAATTTAGAATTTTAAATTAAAATAATATCATATAAATTTTATTAAATTAATATATTCCCATACACCAATCAATTTATCGCTTTTAACTCATAACCAAATAATAAATAATTTAACAAACAAATAAACAAACTGGGAAGCGTATAAACCCAATGAATTACATTCAAACAAATCAATAAGCATATGGGTTGATATACTTACTTAATTTCCTGCCACTTAAAAATACATTAAAACACATTAATTTTACCAATTTAATGTTTTGTTAACTTTTAAACTTTTTTTTTTGGTAAATTAGTTAAAAAACTGATTAGCTAGCTATACTATAGTAAAGTACTATTACTATTAGTAGTGGATTTTGGGCACACCCATATCTCAGTTATTAGACATGGGACCCACATCAAATTTATATGAAATTATAATGACATTCTATAGACAAGTTCTGCACAAGCAGAATTGAAATTAAAGTTTGCGAAAAAAAGTTAGTTTTTAAGTGTGCCTCCTAGCCTCCTGCCCCCAAAAATTAAGATAATTCAAATTAAAGTTATACAATATTTAATTAACTTAAGTTTATCTTCAAATTTCAAATTTTATTTAAAAAATTCAAGAATTATAGGTTTTATACCATTTTAAATTTTTATTATTTCTTTTACTAAATTTAAAAAAATTAGAAATGATATAAAATCTCTAATACTTGAATTTTTTAAATAAAATTTGAAATTTTTTGATAAACTTCAGTGAATTAAATATTGTACCTCTTTAATTTAAATTATCTTAATTTGGGGGGCACACTTAAAAACTTAGTTTTTTTCGCAAACTTGCGCCGAACTTCTCTATATAATGTCATTATAAACTCATATAAATTTGATGTGGGTCCCATGTCTAATAACTGAGATATGGGTGTGCCCAAAATACACCAGCCGCCACTATAATAATTAGTAATATGTAAACCTAAATAAATAAATAAATAAATAATTAATTTTATTTCAAAGGACTGAAAAACTGTTATGGAGAAAAATATTGCACTATAATTTCGTATAATTAAATTTTTAGTAAATTTATCCTCTTTTAAACCCCATACTATAAATTATATCTACTGGACAATTAAATATATGTAGGACATTAAACTGATTTCGACTTTAAAAGCTTAAACAAAATTAATGCGAAGATTATAAAATAATTATCTTTATTATTTTTTTATAATAATTACACTAGTCAACAGCAAAAAAAGGTCGGTAATAAAAATAGCTCAAAAAGGCGCGCAAATGGTGTGTCTATGCAAAAAATGGTACCAAACTACTGTGCTTCTATTTTTAACTTACGACCTCAGAAAATTATTCAAAAAACTTTTTGGATATAGATCCAAAAAGTTCAGTCATAAACAATCTAAACATTCAATTTTTATCCAGGACCTATAAAAAAAGTTAAAATTTGTTGCCTGGTGTTTATTAACAAGTGTTTGTAGTTTGTTAATTTTATTTTGTAAAATTTTAATATATTTTTTTGTAGAAAACTAGGGTTTATAATTATTTTAACAAAGGAAAATATTTTACCGAAAGTTTTGTAAACGTAATATACAATTTTGTAAGCATTTTGTTAATTTCAAAGGTGTCAGATTATTTTATTAATGTTTACAAAAATTATTTCGTTGAAAAAGTATAAAAATATGCCATCACTAGTTTTTAAACTGAATTTAGTATCATCAGTAAGTGTTGTAGTAGTACTAATAATTATATTGTACCAATTTTTTTTTTATAATTTAATGATTTCAGAATAATGTGTTATGAAATTGTGTGTATGTTATTTTTGTGTTCATTTATGTAGGTATGTGTTAATTTTTTTGGTTTAGGAAATTGATTAATAAAGTAACATTTCTTATAAAAATTCTTTTCATTTAAATTGTTAATTTTTAACAAATACTTTGGTTACTGGGTCTACAAAAAGGTTTGTAAAAATAAGGTCCTTTTTTAAAATTACAAGAATTGTTGTAAAATTATTGACAGGATTTTGTGATTAAATCTACAAAATGTTTGTTATAATTACAAACTACTTATTTAATTGGTTACTGTGTGCTTGTTTTAATAGAGTAAATGTAATTTAATTTATGCGTTCTATTGCCTACAAGCAATTTACCTAAATACATTATACTTGAAATAATATAATATTAAATTAATGCGTGAAAAATACCTCTTTGCAAAATCTGTCTCGATAAAATATTGTAATTCCTAAAAAAATAAAATACACTCACAGGCAAAATAATCGATCCACACAAATTGTCGATGAATTTTAATCGCAAATTACTTTTTTATTTGATTTCGGATTTAAACAAATATTAAAGAATATTGTAGATACATTAATGGAGAATCGCTTAAATTTTAAAAATTACTAAAAAATACACATACGTTTATAAAATACAGGTTTAAACAAAAAGATGTTTTTTACCATAAGTTTAAGACACTCTGTAGAGTGACAAAACCGTATATTGTTCTAAATTAAGTTTTAATTATCAAGTCACATCTATTTTTAACAGTTTTGTTTTTGGTTCACCTTGATATATTTATTTTTGTGGAAAATATGGATTTTTTTAAAAAAACATTGCAATTTCCAATATTTTTCCTGTATGGAGAACTAAGGTTGCTATGGTCCATCCATAGCCTATGGAAGATGACAGTGACAGTTTTGTTGAATCATCCCATGCTTGGACATGTCATATACAGCTTTCAAAAGCTATCAAATTGTTTTTTGTAAATTAATGTGTTAATTTTGAGGTGTCTTCTTACTTTTAAAAATGTCTCCGACTGATGTTGCCCTTTGTACTTTACTTCTTATGACGTTTAAAACACTTGCCACGTAATACTGTGACCGTCCATCCTGGATTAAATTAATGGCTCTGGCAACATCAGTCGGAGACATATCCATTTTTTAAAGTAACAAGACACCTCAAAATTTAAACATTAATTTGCAAAAAACAATTTGATAGCGTTTGAAAGCCGTGTATGACATGTCCAAGTATGGGATGATTCAACAAAACTGTCACTCATTCTCCATAGCCTATGGATGGACCATAGCAACCTTAGTTCTTCATACAGAAAAATATTGGAAATTGCAATGTTTTTTAAAAAATCTATATTTTCCACAAAAATAAATATATCGAGGTGAACCAACAACAAAACTGTTAAGAATAGATGTGACTTGATAAATAAAACTTAATTTAGAACAATATACGGTTTTGTCACTCTACAGAGTGTCTTAAACTTATGGTAAAAAAAACTTTTTGTTTAAACCTGTATATTATAAACGTACGTCTATTTTTTAGTACTTTTTTAAAATTTATCTACAATATTCTTTAATATTCGTTTAAATCCGACATCAAATAAAAAAGTTATTTGCGATTGAAATTCATCGAAAATTTGTGTGGATCGATTATTTTGCCTGTGAGTGTACAATGTAATATAGATAAAATTTAAAATTGTGTTCACTCGTTCATGCAAAATTATTCATAGAACTAATATTTGTTGTTGTTTTGTTGTTGCAGCTTGTGCAGTAGTAGGAAGTCCCAGGATACCGGTCCCGTTCCTCGAACAATTAGACGAGCGCAACGACGCTGAAATATACAAGGCGGTCGTGGAGTCGATGAACGACTGGCAGCGGAAGCACAATCTCAAGAGACATCGCACCAGGTAATTTTAATTATGACGATAAGACGCCGTGCGCCTCTCTTGTAAGGATTTAGCACACATCTTAAGGGATACAATTCTTTATAAAATCATTTCTTGTTAGGACGGCACATTTAATTGTTATTTATTAGGGTCATTTTCAAGAAACACCCGCTTTCAGGAAAATGAAGATCAATTTTTTTTTTGCTTAAATTGACTTTTGGTTGGATTTTTAAAAATGCTAAGAGTTTTGTTTAATTACATTTAAGACAGACATGTCTAGACAGTGCACTTTTTAATTTTTTTTTACGCTTTTTTCAGAAAAATGTGTTTAGCTTGCTTTATATATCTCCACTGTGCTACCAATTTGAAATCCAAAATTTAATTCAATAAAAAAAGTTGTTATAAAAATAATTTGAAATAAAATGTACTAAGTTCACAAACTTTTGACTCCAATTTTTTATTATATTTTTTATTAAAAATTTTATGCTTTTTTTTTAAATGTATGTTCGTTAAGTTACTTTTTAAAAGAAACCATTCCGATTCTTTGTTAAAAAAACAATACCATTAATATTTTCTTTTAGTCACTGTATTAGTAAGTTAAACTATAATTTATAAACACGTATTACCAAACACTAAAAAAAGTAACGAAATAGACATTGGTATCACAACGGACTGGGGTACACAAAGGACTTAATCAGATAACGTAAAAAAGAAACTATATAGGGTGGTACGATTTTAGAGTAATGCATAAACAAAATCCCTTGTAGTGGTGCTCACTTGCAGAATAACAATTTCTAAATTGTAGAAACCCTTTTTCTTCGACTATAAGCTGGTGAAGGTCCCTTTTAGTACTTGTATATTGCGTGGAATTTTCCCTTGGATGTAATCTATATCATGAGTTGTAATCACAAATAATTTTAAGTTGGTTTATCATAACCTACTTTTAATAAAAGCGACTGTAAATATCCACTTTGTTGTCGAAAAATTCTATTGCGTTACCCTAAATTCCATTGCGTTACCATAAGGTAACATAGGAGTCGGTAACGCAGTGGAAAACGTTTTGTGAAACCATATTTAAAAAATAATAATAAGACATTTCAGTAATTAATTACTCTCAATGAGCTTTAGTGCCCTAAAATAAACATAAACATAAAAAAATAGTATTTTTCTTCCCTTATTTTTATTATTTTTTTGAGTAACTTAGCGGACAAACAATTATTACATTCGCGTTACCCGCACCTGTTTCAACCGATATCTTCTTCCTGATTGAATAAACGTCATTTGTTGATCACGTGAGTGCCAAAAAAGTTGCCATATATATGTTTTTTTAATATTCTATCGGTAACGCGACGGACGTAACGCAACGGAAAAAATGTCTGGGACATGAGTCAAATTTAAAAAAAGTAGATTAAAATTAATTATTTTATATATAAATTGTTTACTGTATTAACTAAGGATGTTATGGATTGCTATAAAGCAACACAAAGTTCTGGTTATTCAATATTAAAAAAAAAACATGTATGTAAGTTTTATAAAACGCTAATGGGACATGCGAAAATATGTGTTTCACAAGTTTCAAAATTAAAAAGAAATTATTCTGAAATAACTAAACAAACATTTTCTGAAAGAGTTTACTAAGGGCTTGTTAGGCTTTCACTTGGTTTTTAAATCAATAAGATCCGATAATTTTTAACAAAGTTATTGAAATTCAAACTTACGGACAGCGGAAGGCGGATGTTTTTTGAAAACGACCCATTAAACAGGGATAATTGCGAGACTGTTTTAAAAAGTGTGAACGGTAAAATTTATTTTGAGAATAGTTAACTAGCTTTGGATGAAAATGTTTAAGATCGGCTGGATCAAAATTATCCAAAACAGTGGATGGCATCCTATATCTCCAGATCTGAGACCATTAGACTTTTTGTTATGGAGTCACTTAAAATCTGTGGTCTACTAACTCGTTCTATTAAAGAAATGCCACAACGAATGTCCACGACAAAAATTTTAAAATGTTCCAAGGGAATTTGAGAAAAGTGTTTGATTATAATAAATGCAGAGCAATTTTTTTATTTATGCTTTTATTCAATATTTTTAACGGGAAATCGGAATATATAATTATAAAAATTATTTTGCGTTTAATAGTAATTTTCAAGAGCTTTCCAATAAGATATCAACCGCATAAAATAAATCCAATTAAAAACAAATATCTTTTTATCTTTTTTCTACATAATGTAATTTAAAGTTACTATCAAACGAAGTAAATATCTTATTTGTATGCCTATTGGTTTTGGATTTGCCTTAAAAAAGTAATCAGATAAAAACAATGTGTGACTAAACAGTCTCTTTATTTACACGACAGTGAAATTGAAATTTCCATTATTGCTTTATTTTTTTTTAAGAAAAAACCGTCTAGGAATTTTATTCGATAGTTGAGTTCATTGAAAGTTTATTATTTTTAAATGTTTTAGAATAAAACGAAATTCTATTCAATAATAATATTAAAACATTGTTTAAGGTAAAAAAACAATTCCATTAAAATTTTACAAACGGTAGAATAAAATTTTACAGCTCCAATTAAAAAATAAACTTTAATTAAACTTTCCCGACATTTATGGCATATTTTTACAATCCACTTTTGTAATAGTGTAGTTCAACGTCTGTAGGGAGCTATTTTTGATTTAATATACAGGGTGTCCCAGAACTCGCGCCACAGAGAAAAAGGGAACGTACCGAAAGTAATTTGAAACACATATTTAAAAATTCAAATTGTCCAACGCAAAGGATAAGGGAGATAAGAATAAAAAACGATAGCCAATCCCAATAGATCACCACAGGGAATTCTTTAAATTGCTAGGATACTTAGGTTGCATTGTTGATAATAAAAAATATGTAAGATATTTGGTCCACTGGAATCCAATTCATTGTAACACTGCTGTCAATCTTTACTTCTGTCATTAATAGATCACCACAGGGAATTCTTTAAATTGCTAGGATACTTAGGTTGCATTGTTGATAATAAAAAATATGTAAAATATTTGGTCCACTGGAATCCACTTCATTGTAAAACTGCTGTCAATCTTTACTCCTGTCATTAATATTATATTAGGTTATAAATTAAGTTATTATTGACAATGCTGTCAATCTTTACTTTTGTCATTAATATTGTATTAGGTAATAAATTAAGTTATTATAAATAATGTTTATGCACGATGACATTATAATATGACAATTATAACAAAAATTCTTTGACGTAAACGTCTTTTTATAGCCCGCGGGCGTTATTATGGCCCAGCGGGCTATAATGAAACGTCAAAAATTAAAAACAACAATGTTACACCATTTGATATATTCGAAGTAAGTTTTTTCGTATAAAGATTTTGATTTTACCGGCAGCAGGCCGCAATTTTTCGCCTTTTCAGCTGCTTCCTCAATTTCATTTATCTTTAAACTTTAAAACTGACTGATGTCAGTTGACATTATAATATGACAATTATAACAAAAATTCTTTGACGTAAACGTCTTTAAAAACAATAATATATTAAAAATAATAATATATTAATCGTGCATAAAGTTTTGTATGCATTGCTGGCATAACTGGTTTTTATGGTCCTACGACGCTTTTCTAGCCCTCGCGCTAACGCGCTCGGGCTCGAAATAGCGCCTCGGACCATAAAAACCTTATTATGCCCTTAATACATAAATAACTATTTCCTTGATGATTATACCGAAATGATAACTATTTATGGGGAGCTTTTGACAACTTAGTAAATACAGTTGGCCAAAAGATTTTTAAATGTTTTTAAGACAACAATGTTCTATCGTCTCCTAGCAATTTTTAAAGCTCCTACGTTTAACCTAGGCGAGATGTCTCGGTATTGGCTGTCGCTTTTTTGCTCTCATTCGATTACATTATTACCTAGAAATTTTTTATTTTTAAATTTGGCATCTCCATTGCTATCGGCACGCCCCCTTTTTCTCTGTGGCGCGAGTTCTGGGACACCCTGTATAGTATACTTTTAAAAGGAAAAGCAAATTTAATAATAATTTTTAAATATTTATTTTATGAATTTAAAGTTTTTGGCAAAATTTTTCAAGAAATCTAAAACTTAAACTTCACAAGGCTTAACTTTTTAAGTAAGCATATTATTATTGTTAAGCATATAAAAACTATTTAAAATCCATTAATAGAAAAAATATATAAATAAAATTGAAGTAATAAAACGTTTGTCCAGGCTAATCTCAGAAATGACCATAGATTAATAACCCCTGGAAATGACTGAATCGATTTTGACGGGACTTTTATTGTCAGGTAGAGGGCAATGTTTGTTTTGTTTTTGTTTATTTTTATTGCATGTCATTTTTCTTTATTTTTTTTATAAAAGGCGATCTATATCAATAACTGCTTTGTTTTGTCACTTAATTCTATCCTATCCTATAAAATATTAATGTACAGACATTTTAACTTTTTACCATTTTGAAATTTGATATTTGACCTTAAAATGTCAATAAATTTATTTTTTGATATTTTGAATTTCCAGTATTTATTTTGTTGCATTTTTTTTTACATAAAATTTTTTTTATTTTTGCCCATTTTTTTATTCTTAACCTTAAATCGAATTATTCATACCTACTCTTTGTTTTTCTGGTTGTTTTTGTCTGTCATTCATTTATAGTAATTTTCTGGTTGTACGTTGGCGCTCCAAAATCACCACATGCGTTTACAAGGTTTTTGTATTTTTTAGTTAGTTTTTATTATTTTTACTATACAGGGTCATCCTTTAAGGGGATAATAGTACAGTATGTACTATGTATGCATTAGTGTAATTTTTTTAATAAAAAAATCTTTAAAATTTGTTAAATAAAAGTAAAATAGAAATTTTGGGCCGCCACTGGTTCCTGACCTATGACAACTGACGCAAAATATACTATATACGCACAGTGGGCAATAATAATCTACATTCATTAAAAATTTACAATTATGTTATCATTGATTACTTTAAAGTAACAATTGTTAATACTTG